GGATACAACTGTCAGTGTACTTTATCATCATCAGCACCCAATCAGAACTTGTGTTACAGGCTGATACGATAAAACTGCCGACTTGAATGTACTTTTTCATCATCACAAACCAGTCAGAACTTGTGTAAACAAGCAACTTTGCAGATGAAAGAGCTCCACTGTAATTGTTAACTGTGAGTTGGAAACGCAGGGTGAAGTGAAAATTTGACACCATAAAAGAAACTGGTCATTGTATTATTACTAGTTTGAAGAAATGAAGATCATAGAGTATGATATGGTTAGTCAGGACACAGTGATAGAGGGACTGTGGTCAGGACAAGATTTTTAAAACTCAAAATAGAATAGAGATTGAATTTGACCTTAACTTCAACATTTTTTCAGAATCCAACAATACATTTGTCTATTACAGTATTATACATAGCCCATATATAATGTATGGGAAAGTGGGAAAAAATCATAACTTTCACAAAAATAGAGATATCTTCACCAAATGAACAAATTTGAAAGAGAACCAGTTCCAAGTTTTTATAACCACCGTCCCAAATTACCGTACCAGCTTTCTTACATTGTCATCGTACACATTGTGACTAAATTGATCTGCCTCTTGTATCCCAAGGTGACGTTTTGTTGTTCATGTCAATCTGGGGAAAACTTTCCAATGTACCCCACCACTAATCCTAAGTCTAACCTGATTCCTGCCCTCTATTATTTGAATCAAGTAAAAAATGCACAACATAGAATCAGGTTCACCAAATTTAGGATATCTGCACATACCCTACCAATTGAAAAACTTAGATATCAAGGGATACCTCCGGAGGAAAGAAAGTGCCAACTTTGTAACAATGGGGCTATTGGCAATGAAATCCATGCACTTTTAGACTGTAACCATACTGGACTAACAAATGCTCGTACTGAATTTCTGAATGCAGTTAGCATTTATAATTAAAGTGGACTTAAACTATCAAAACAACAAATGTTTGCAGAAATTTTAAGTTCGAGAAATGGGTTCATTGCCAATAGTGCTAGCAAATTTATTGACAGCATATTATTTTACTATAAGTAATTTTACTTAGACTTAGGCTTTTATGTATTCTCTTTTGTCTCGTGTGTGTACTTGTGTTTTATTATATTTAATGTCTTTTGACCACAGCTAATGTAACAAAATATATTATTCAGTGTCAAATAAATATACTATACTACTAGTATACTATTACCCCCTCAAATTAATAGCATACTAGTACGCCCACTTAAGAACACCTATAGTTACCGTAGTTATCTAGGTGGCACAAGCAACTGAAATGAGACGGGGGGGCTGGAGGGTTAATGATAGTATTTGTGCAAGATGTGGGGTACATGAGGAAGTCTTTCCTACATGGAACTCCGATTGAGACGACCCATAAGCGACAAAGTTAAAATTGTAACGAACACCGTGACTCTCACCTGAAAACACGTTCAATCTCTTCAAATCCCGGCGCAACACTTCCGCCGGTTAGCACTGGCAGACGTTTCAACCTTAAATACCGAATAAGCTGAACGGCAATCGCAATAACTGCAACTATTGTTGCCGTCTGCAGAATCAGTAAAAAACCCATTTCGAAGATTTTCCGGAAGTTTATATCGACGCTGTGATCGTGAACCTCATTCCACCACTTGAGGGCGTTGCTCTTGAATATTGCATGGAATGGCATCGCAGGCACGGGTGTTGTTTTTTTCTACAGTTTAGCTCAGACAATTAGTTAGTTGCCTGTGAATTTAACTACAAATATATAAAACAGTTTTAGATTTTAAATTAATCCGACAGTGGACGCAATTGAAGCGTAATTATACGTTCCTTATATTCTAGGCTTACCATATATATTTATAGTTTCGATTCTCCGAATAAAAATATTCAAAACACAACATCGCGGGTTTCCTACACGATCAATAATCACATATTTGCCGCAATATTGTTATACTTTGTTTTGTTTTTTTGGTGTTTTTTCAATAAAATAAAGTAATATGTAAGTGTATGAATGGCGTCGATCTAAACACAAAACACCACTTATTTATACACTCAAATAATATTTTATTTTATCGAAAAAACAACAACAAAAAAAACAAACAAGAGACTGTATACAAGTCTATAATATTGCGGCAAATCTGTGAATTTATATTTTTTGATGAAAACGGTTGTAAGTAGATCCCAACTCCAAAATTCTAAATTTGTCATTTGTCACGGCTGTGTGGAAGCACGTATGGTGTAGATCAGATAAAAAAGTGTGATGCGTCATTTTGTTTCACAATTTCCGCAGATGATAATATGGCATGATCTCTGGATTTATAGCTACTAAACGTGCCAGGCGCATAAAGCCGGGAACAACCACTGGTGGCGCTGTGTGGTTTCGAAATCTTTAGTGGATCGCTGAGATAGACCACGGTTTGTTTAGTAACCGTGGATAGACTTATAATTTAAGACGCAGCAACACGTGTTAAGTCTTAAGTATGGTAGAAAACGTGTACAGTCTTCTAATAACCACGATAGGCAGGGTGAAGGCCAATGCCGAAAATATGTTCTTGCAGCGTTTCATAATACAGATAGTTAGATAGACAGATCTTGTAAATATAGAGAAAGGGAATAAATGTTATATAATGAGTTTGAGCATTTGGAAACATTACCATCCGTTTCATATGATTTGAATGCAAGGGAGAGGCACGACGTTGTTCGTCGCAAATTGGATGATATAAATCGGCATTATACAAATGGTGCCATGATTAGATCCAGAGCACAGTGAGTGGAGGAAGGAGAACAGAACAATAAGTATTTTATTTCACTTGAGAAAAGAAATACAAAATTAAAATCAATTACTAAACTTTTTGACAATTCAGATAATATTATTACTGATCCCAAATTTATTCTAGATGAGCAGCGCAAATTTTACCAAAATCTTTGTTCTGAACAGGAGGTGCTCCTCAATGGTTCTGATTTAACTCACAATTCGGAAGATATATTTATTAACTTGTCCGGCATTCCTCAATTGACTGATACTCAGAAATTATCTTGCGATAAGCATGTTTCAATGGAAGAGTGTACCCAAGCCCTTGAAACCCTGCTTGTTGGTAAATCTCCAGGCACTGATGTGCTTACTACTGAATTTTACAAACATTTTTGGGAATACATTAAAGACCTGGTTTATAATAGCTTTCTTCACTTACTTCACTTCCTCCCTGGTGAATTATCGATTGAACGAAAAAGAGGAATTATTACACTTATTCCAAAAAAAGATAAGGATTCAAGGTACTTGGCGACCAATTTTTGTCTTAAATACAGACTATAACATTTTAACTAAATTAATTGCAAATATACTTCACACGGTTTTAGATAGCATTATTGACCCAGATCAAACTAGATATATTCGGGGTAGATATATTGGTCAAAATATTCGTCTCATTAATGATGTTTTTCATTTAGGAAATCTTAAAAAATCAGTGGCATAATGCTTTTTATCGTTTTCGAGAAAGCATTCAATTCCATTAGATGGGGCTTCATCGGTTTTTGCTCTTTTATTCATTATTTCTGTCGAGCTGTTAGCTATCTATGTCAGGAAGTGTGATAATATTCGGGGTATTAATTTATTTAATAATGTTTTAAAAATTTCACAACTAGCAGATGATACAACACTTCTTTCTTCATGATTTAGTTAGTGTTCAGAATGTATTGAATGTATTAACTTTATTATATTTTGAAGCAGGTCTACGTTTAAACAAAGGGAAAACAATATAGCTAAGTGGTTTGGTTATCACAGGTATTTAGAGAAGAAACCCTTTCGGTAAAATGGACTAATGAATCTATTTATGCTCTAGGTATTGGGTTTACACCAGATGATAAGTCTTCCAGTATGTTGAATTTTAACATAAGTTAAAATCAGTTTTAAATATCGCTTGTTGGCAAGGTAACTATTATCATGACACTTGCAATGCCACGGCTATTGTATGTTGCTTCTGTTTTACCTGTGCCAATTTCGATTATTAATGAAGTAAACCGAGTAATTTATTATTTTCTTTGGTCTGGCAAGCGGGATAAAATAAGCACAAAAATTGTATGCACATCCATTAAGATGGATGGGCTAAATATGCTTAATTTTGAATATCAAATAAGGGCGATTAATGCTAGTTGGGTCAACCGACTGCTGTATTTTAAAGGCAGCTGGTGTCTTTTTCCTACGAGCTTATTTGAGAATATATCTTTCAAAGATTTTATTTCGGCAAAATACGATAATCATATTTAAAAAAAGATATGCCTTTATTTTATAACCAGGTTTTCAGTTATTACAGTGATATAAACGTCACTCCGAGTCGGCCATTAACTAAGAATGAAGTGAAAAACGAATTCCTTTAGTTTAATAAACTCATTGTCACAACCAATAATAGCCTATTGTTCTATCAGCAGTGGTATACAGCGGGAATTGAAAGGATTGGTGATTTACTTGATGATGAGTGTGTATTTTTAGAACCAAAAGTATTTATTCAAAAATACCGTTTAAGATTTGAAGATTATATGAAATTTTACTCTTTGAGGATGTCAATTCCTCGTGCATGGACATCTTTGCTCGGGTCTGATAGTAATGTGATACAGAAACATACACCTACGATTATGATAAAAACAATCTAAATTCTTTTATCTGCAGTTCTTACAACAAATGCCATCTCCGGTCATTAAATCGAAACAGAAATGGAATGAAATTTTAAATGTACGAGTAGATACAGACTGGGAAAGTTATTACACGGTTGCGTTCGAGTGTGTCACTGATGTTAGACTACAGTGCTTGCAATATGCAATTTTACACAGAATTTTTCCATGTAATGTAATGCTTTTAAAGTGGGGAAAAAATTCGTCAGATGAATGCGACTTTTGTTCAGTCCTCGACACAACAGTCCATTACTTTTATGATTGCACTCCCACACACAGATTCTGGGCCTCACTAAAATGCTGGTTATCAACTGTTCCAGACGAGCGCATCAGTTTCTCTTGGAAGGGCGTATTGTTAGGCATTCAAGATTCAAAAAAATGGTGGCACGTGTTAAACTTTTGTGTTTTGCACGCTAAGAATTTTATATACACGCGGAAAAAACAGGGTCATGAATTATTTTTGTTTCTTTTTATCTCTTATTTAAAAAATTCACTTTTAGTTGAAAAACATATTTTTTGTAAAAGAAACCAAGAAGAAAAATTTAATAGCACTTGGGAGAATTTCTATGTTTTTTCTAGCCCCTATTTGGAATGTCTTATGCAGTTAGGTTATCTTTGATCAGTTGTACGACAGCATACCGTCCTGTACGTTGTTTTATTGTATATTGTAAATGTCTATTGTAAAATTATTTTGTATTATTAATACTGTAATAAATGTTTGTATAAAGTGAAAAAAATAAATAATGTGTACACAGTGTGCATGTATTCGCTCTCATTTATTCCACAACGCATGCTTTACATCACCGTTGTATAGTTGGTACAAAGTGTTCGTTGACACTTCCCAGTGTTGTTGACATCGTCAAATTTTGAACATGTATTTCCATTTAGTGAAAAAAATTTTGAACGTCGTATTTAATTCATCGCGTCACTACCAAAGTCTGGCGTAACCTCTCATCCTTTCATAATCTATATTGTCTCCTTCCTCAACTGCAAGGCAAAATCTCCCCTCTCCTTAAAAAAATCAACAGGTATTTAATAATCCATGTGTACTTTCAAGTTCTGCGTCCCATATCTCTTAAATATAACATCACCATGCACCAAGCTGATTTATACACACCGTAGCCTCGCAAAAGGTCTTGTTTTTTGTCCTCGAGAAAATAGCATACTTTTTTTATTAAATTAATATTATTTAGATATAAGTTCAATATTTACAAAATATTAAATTATTTTTCCAGTTTACGCATTACGACCGACAAAACATCCTTTGAAACAATTCTACATTCTACCACATGCGGCGCAGGTTTTAAACCTTTTGGGGGCAATGACAAAAAGCAAAAATTAGTTTTTGCCCTAACATAGATGGTTTGTATCATTTTTGCATTCAAAATGAGCTAACACTGTGTACTCACTCACTTCACATATATGAACATTGTATTTAAAAAAAATGCTATATTTGTCAAACAACTATTTGTGTTAGACATTAACCTCTTTGTTGTTATGTTCATTTCATAACCATAAGTTTACTGATTCATGTTCACACTAGATTAGTATTAGCATCGAAATACGTTGCTCGAATGATATTATTATTTGGTTACTTACCTTCATTACTTGTCTCCAATTATTAACAATTACAGGACCCTTAATAAACCTTACCCTTAATGGAGAAGACCGAAAAAACAATTTTAATGTTCAGAGGTGAAAAAGATCCACAAATGTAGTAAAATGCAATTTGCGTTTTTATATAACTTTTCTTCCTTTACACAAACAATCCAGGTAGAAACGTATTTGTACTGTGAACGGCGACTACCCGAGATTGGACATAAAAAAACATTGTAAGCTGCACTCCACACGCCAAACATAACAGATGCACATCACTGCCAACTCAACTGATAAGAAGTATTAAGAAAACTGAGCTCCAACGATATTTATTTTGAATTGTGGGATCTCTAGTGTAAAAAAGTGTTTGAAATTAATCTTATAAATTGAAGTTGCAAGCATAATAAGAGAGCGAGTATTTTCGTAACTTTTTCAACTTTGAGTTTTCAACTACATGATTGGTTATGAAACATTGGTCGAATTCACAGTCACGCTGCTCTCTACAGATTATGGCAAAATTTTGCCGACCACAGAAGCCAATTTTAGCCTTTCTTTCCGGTCCGAAACTTTAAATATGCACCAATACTATTGCAGAATATATCAGTTCTCGTCACTGAAGTAAAAGCAGGAGGGTCGTCATCTGCGCACGCGCGGGAATTGAGTCCCAAGTGACGATAACACAAGCTAAAACGCAAAGGCTCATGGGTAGACGCTT